GGAATTCTTTGAATGACAATATAAAAAATCTAGCCAATGTTTCATCGTTTAAGTCAAAATTAAAATTGTCGCTACTAAAAAAGTACTCAATTTAAAATGCAATTTATTATAGACTTATTGCTATCAGAACTTTTTATATCATGACAAGATCAGAACTAAATAATTCATCATATATATATATATATATATATATATATATATATATATATATATATATATATATATATATTTGTAAATATTTTTGTAAGTACTATTTATGAGCTCAACATGGCGCAACATAAGGCAGCCTAAACGTTATAAGCCCTAGGCTTCAGTTTTTTGGCTTCCTTGTCACAATTTCTTGCGTATACACTTATATACAATGTACATAATTAATTATGTTACAAACCAAATAAACTATAATATAACACTCCGTAGCTATCTATATAACACTCAGTAAGCATCCAGAGGAGGAGTGAGGACTATGCCAGCATGCAACGCGGTCAGGCGCGGTTTTTTATTTCTCGCTCTGCGCCGTCATCGTTCGGTCGGCTTTCGCTGTGTTTACACCTCGAGGTTTCAAGAGATTCAGAAAAGATTTATAGAAAAAAATTTGTAAAATGGTGAATTTTTGCACTATGCATGGAAAGAAAGCTTCGTTTTTGGGTGGACACGAAGCTTCTTGTGTGTTCACTGTGTGTCAAAACAGTCTTTAATGTTGATTCCGGAAGGATTACCGTGTGATGAACTTGAATGTCATGAGGTTCATGTTTATAGTTTTATGGATAGTTCGAAGAATAGTCCTTTGTCCAGCTGTGGTTAACGGGATAAAAATTGATGAAAATGTTCGCTGATTGCGGTAGTCCTGCTTGCACTGGTACAAATTCACTCTAGTTGTGTTTTTAAGGTGAGATGATTTTAATTATAAAATAAAAATAGAAATATAAAAATGCTCCTATGTTGTAATACAACAGTATTAAACGTATTTTTATTTCATATCATGTAGTTCTTCGACCCTAATGGTCTACATGAAGGAGATATAAACAAAGAATATTAAGGCCTACTTTGGGGGCCAAGGTCGCCTAATGTCGCCTAATTTCGCCTAATGTCGCCTAATTTCGCCCACTTTCGCCCATGTGCACCCAATTTTTTAACTTTGCCTGACAGTCTATTTGCTTAATGTTACCTAATTTCGCCTAATGTCGCATCTCACACAAGCATGCCCAATTTTGCACTTTGAGTTTGTCGTCCATACTAGTCTATTCCTTATTTATTTGTTAGTTTCTTGCATGTTTTTTTTCATAAATACAAGTACACAAACACCAAGAGCATGTGCTGTTAGGGCACCATCTCTCACCAGTATTAATGAGGCTTGGTTATTTGGCGTTTATATGTATATGAATTACAACACATTACTCCAATGAGAATTATCTAAATTATGTTGTTAAGGCAGCCTTCTGGCCATCTTCTCCAATGTGTTTCTTTGTGAAACTCAGTCAAATTAGACAATCACACGCAGGGTCTTAGCCAGGATTTGCAACTTGGGTGTCCAAATTTGAAATTTCGTTTATGACACCCAATTTTTGCCATATGGAACCATGGCACCACTTCATGCACCAGTAATTCAATGTGATTATTCCCGAATGCTGGGAGTAATCGGTGACCGCACTTGAGAATCGCCCAAAAAACTAATAATATATTCAATTATTCAGACTATGTCACTACTCACTATACACTGACTACAGTAGTACAGTTTAATAAGTAAATCTGCCAATATATTAATTTTATTGATATTATGTTGTCACTTTCATGCTATAAATACAGTACTTGTAGCTTTGATAAGCTAGTGTAAGCCAAGAACACAATAAAAAACCCAACAAAAAGCAACTGATTATAACTCGTATAGTTATATTCTGCGGTTTTTGGCAGCTACGAATCCTTCCGCTGCAACTTGCAAGTGAGCAATGTTTATTTTGTATGGTATTTTATTCTCAGCAGCTTGTCTAACCTATCTATGGTCAGTTGGTTTCGCAGTTGTGTTTTTATGCGATTCTGAATGCTAAACACCCATTCTGCTTCTGCATTTCCAACCATTACACACAAGCAAGTTGCCATAGTTGAAAACTAGGTGAGTCTATTTCCTGAAAGGATAATAAAATTCGCGTAGGTTTCACTAGCGGCGCATGTTTACTAGGATCGCAAAATTACATATTACTAGCCGTTTCTACTCAGTGAACGAAACGCAAATACATATAATTTAACATAATATTTGATGGTAAGGTACTCTACAGCTTTTACCTAGCCGTCCAAAAGGCGTCACCATGATAACGAACCGTCCAAAAGCCGTCTTTTTTAGAAGGCCGTCCAAATTTGAAAATGGCCGTCCAAAAGACGGCTGGACGGTAGGCTGGCTAAGACCCTGATCACACGCCATTACTGTAATTGTTGTATATGAAAATCAAACTTAGATCTTATTATGAAAGACACATTCATAATAACTGGCGAGTGCAAAAGTACAGAATACCTCTCACTAGCCTAGTGAAGGACACTAGGTATCCTAAAGGCCGAAACAGTACCGTCGGTAGTTGTAGTGTATATATATAAAAATATATATATATATAATCGGTCACGAGTACTAAATACTGGGACGCCCAGGAGTGCCCGGGTATGCCCTGAAGCGCCCGGGAGCGTGTGAGAACGCCCGGGGATATATAAGATATAGTATAAATCAGTGCACGATCCTTCTTGAGTCTCTAAGAGGCATTATATCATTGAACTTGGAATTCATCTCGGGTAAGTTGCTTTTTGGCCCTGGAATTTCTCAGAAGTAAACAAATTATCCTGGCTATGGAATTCTTCAGGTGTTGGGTATTTTCAATGAGATTTCATCAGGGGTCAAAGGCAAAAATTGAAATTCTATAGGTAA